TTAACCAAACTGCCTGGCATGCATATGAGGCAGTTGCTAGGGCAGTTCAAAACCGAACTGAAACTGATAAGCTGAACCAAAAAATGTTATTCGTTTATCAGTAATGGGTTATTGGTTTAGCAGTTTTGATAATAAATTTTTTTCATTATCGGGTTATTGATTATTAACGGTTTGAGGCTTTTTCTTAACGGATTAACCGATAACCCAATAGTAAATTAAATAATTATATTTATACCATTTTGTATATAATGTCCTAGACTTAAGAGTTTGTTTCCTACTTTTATTTTGGTTGTCTCAAACTCTTGGTTATTCTTACAATGTAAAAGTGTTTGCTTTTGGGCAAGATGTAATTTGTGAACTCATGTGCATGGTTTATTTGGTTTGTCAGCTTTTGTGATCTTAATGGTTAAATCGATAACCTAACTGATAACGATCAATAACTGATACACCAATAACCGATAAGCCAATATCTTAATGGTTTTATAACGTGTTAGAATATCTACAAACCGATAACCAATAAATCAAATCGATAAACTTTAAAACCGAACCGACCGATACGCAACCCTAGCATCAGCAATAAACTCTGCCTCTTTAGTAGATAAGCTCACAACTTGTTGTTTTTTGAAGACCAAGATACTGCCTTTGAGCTCAATAAAAACACATAGCCTAATGTGCTCTTTATGTCTACCAAGTCTCCTGCATAATCACTACATGCTTAAGCAACAAGTTTAGCATCTCCTCCCTTTCTATAAAAGATCCCAAACTCAGTTGTACCCTTTAGGTACCTCAACACCCTTTGTGCCTCATGTAAATGAATCTCAGTAGGATTCTCCATATACCAACTAATAAAGCTCACCAGAAACATCATATCTGGTCGAGTTGATGTTTGATATATGAGGCTTCCCACAATATGCTTAGTAAGTTTATCTGATAACGCTCAACTACACTTCATCCGATTCTAAGTGTAGGTGGTTGCTAACAAGTATAAACCTAACTAAGAGTTGGGGTCGATCCCACAAGGAGTGATACGATAAAGAATTTGATTAAGAAGAAAAATAGTGTTTTAATCGTTTGTAGAAGTAGAAATTTCGCAACAATTAATTAAATCACAAAGTTTTGACAATTAATGCCAAATGGGGGGAAACCAATTAAAAACTACAAATAACCAGGAGTAGGCAAGTAGAGAGGGTTTCTTGGAATTATGATAAATTGAATGCTAATTTTGCGTAATGGATGATTACTAATTACTCAAAGTCGTTGAATATCGGTGGGTAGGCTAGGTCTTAGGTGCAATAGTTATTTCTCAATCAACTATCATGAATCAAGTGAGTTCTTTCAAACCTCAACAAGTACACAACAGATTAACAACCCGAAACCTTAAACAATCTACTTTTTCAAGCTAGAGTTGTAAGATTGCATTCAAACCCGCTTTCTCAAACTAGATTCATAATAACACAATCACTACAGTTATCAGTTAATAATTTAACTCTAACACTTCTTTCTCAAGAAAGTATAGAGCACTAGGCTAGAACCGCATTTGCAACTACAATTCCTCAATTAAAATACAAACTATTCATTGAACCCACTTCAAATAAACAATAAAATCAGTAATTAACAACACCCGTTAGCTTATTAATATATTCAACTACATAATCACACCCCCAAGAATGGGGGTATTAGCCAAACATAATAAAGAACAAGAAATCGTTGGGCAACAATCCACAAGTTTCCAAATGCTTAAATTTATGCTAAAAATCAATCAAACCTTAAAAATCTACTCAAAATATTTAAGAACAATGTTTAGAATATTTAAGATCAAAAATCCAGAACTAGACAATGTGGGAACTCCTTTTCTTCTTTTGAAAATACCATTTATATGTTCCCAGAATTACAGCTTGGGAGTTACTCGGCGAAGTAAGTCAGGCTTCACTGACCTGGTTGGCGATACGCCGAGTGCTCCCTTTCATCGCCTTCTTGGCTAGGCCTTTCACCATATCTTTTCTATAAATTTAGGCGATCGAGATCGACATCGCCGAACCATTATTCTGCTTAATAAGATTGTCTTGTTCATTGGCTGGCTTGCTGGAACTTTGGGAGAGCTAAAGGTCCACTCGGTGACTCGCGGAGTGCCTTTGGCGAGTACCAGCTTTCCTTTCCTTCGTCTTTTTCAGTTTTTTTCTCCTATTTGTCTTGTAGTGTCCTTGTCCTGCTATTTTGCCTTCATTGCTGCAAATTAACATTTCAACATCATTTATGAGCATAGAATGGGCATTGAGGACACTAAATCTTTGAAAATTAAGCCCTAAATGAGTCGAAATCCCCGACTCATCAACACCCCCAACTTAGTAGAAGAAGTGGGAGTTACTTTCACATCCGCTCAAGAGGATGTGTCCACCGGTGCTGCTCTCCTCCACTCAGCCTCATCCCTAGTGTACTCGACCTCGATTCTCCGAATGTTAGTAGAGGAAGTGGGAGTGACTTCCACATCCGTCTTTTCCACAAAGGGTACTCTAGCACGCCGGCACAACTCTGTGATCAGCACCGGGAAATGAAGCGTTGTTTGGTTCTACTTGGCCGTCGTGGCCATCTCCTGCTCAATGATCATCCCGAGATTTAGTCTTTCCCGATCAATAATGAAACCCAATAAAGTTGCCTTCAGATGTCGGAGGATGGACTCATTCTATGATGGCATGAGGGTGTTTCTAATAAACCCAAACCAGTACCTCGCAGCTACATTCAGGTCCTTCTTCTCAATTTACACCCCTAGCTCGATCCACGACAGTGTAATGTCAGAAATCAATGGAGAAAACCATCCCTTAAGGTCGTCAAGGGTTTCTTTTGAATCTTGTCTGCTAAGAAAAGTATCAGATTGACGATACATCCCAACAACTCATTGATATCTGAACTGCTGCAATTTACCTTTTTACCTCGAACCACCACATGATCAATCGGTACAAATGAGCTGGCTTTCTTCTTACCCTTCGGGACCAGCGTCACGTACTCTACATAGAATTCTCAAACCCAAGAAGGTATATAAGAGCCTCGGGGCTGTATGAATCTCTCAAACTTGTAGAATCGAATTGTGTTCAACACAGCAGGGTACCTGTCCACCACCCCATCAGTAGAAAACTCTTTTCTTCTAGAATTGTACGCAACCCAGCAACCTTTAATTTTTTCATCAAACGAGACGGAGATGCATGTACCGACACACTGGTGGTGCCTGTTCAATAGCCTGTGTTGGATTTGGAGGAGGATGAGGAGTGACCAGGAGTCTAGCCGGATCATGTAGCGCTTTGGATCGCAACTCAACCTGTCTTCGCTGAAGGGTTTGGTCATCCTCTGGCTCTGACTCAGAGGCAGGTGATCTAGACTCAGAATTTTCCTCACTATCAGACTCCAAAGTGGTGAGGTGAGTGTCGTAGATGCAGATGATGTCAGAGCTGGAATCAACCAGACTCGGCTTCATAGGTCCCTTTCCTTTATCCTTTCCCTTTCCCCCTGTCGGAGAAAGTTTGGGTCGCGTTGATCGTGGAGGAGAAGCCTCCTCATAAATGATGATTCCTCTCACCCTCTTTTTAGGTGGTTCATTCTTTCTCTGTACTTTGGGTCTAGCCATGTTTTCAAAACAACACAAATCGAACAAATGCAATTGCACTGGGTTAGTGAAACATCAAATTGAAAAATTGTAGAAAAACTCACCGACTAACTCGGTGAATTGCTGAACTCATTCAGCGAGCCTTAGAGGGCTTGCCAAAATTCACACAACTAAAATGCAAAGAAATCAGCACAAGTCGGCGAGGTTAAGGGCCAATCGGCGAACGAATGAACTTAATTGGCGAGCCAAGGGTAGTTCGTTGAATATCACAGAATAATTTTCAAAAATCTAGGCTGACAAAGGGCGATCAGGAGTGCATTTGGAGAGCACATGCATATCGCTGAATGTTAAAATTCAGAGCAAAAAGGCTATACGAGGGGTCAGTTGGTGAACCGATGAGTCATTCAGCGAGCTCGACTAAGCTCGATGAATAGCCTGTCATACCAGATTTTGACCCCGACCTTCCATTTTCAATGCTTAGCCCACGATAATCAAAGTAAAGCCCTATGCTATGTAATTAACACCTAGCCTATATCACTACCAACCCCGGGGTACTCATACTTCCCCCATTTTATCTAAAATTAACCAATCAACGTCTTTTGCCCTTAAGAATGACATCACCCACTCTATCATTGGAAAATTCAATTGATCTATACAATTCGGATTACTTAGACATCACCCACACTAGACCCAACATGCATAACCGTCAATCAAACAGTTTATACTCAAAATTCAAATTTAAACAAGTCCAAAATCTAACATGATCAAATTACCCAACAATAACTAACTAATCAATTAACTACACAAAGGAAAATAGTAGATCCATCAATTATACGCACATGCTTCAATTATGGCAAGAAATTAAAGTAAGTTTGGGACACCAACCTCAAAAACAGACAAATACAGAGCACAAGCAAAGGAGGTAGCAGGCAAAACAGATAATATCCAACTATGTGACGATGTCCACACACAAATTCGACAGGAAGTATGATCTAATATGAGGGTGTAAGAATGTAAGAGTCGAAAAATGCAAAATAAAGGAGAGATTTGAATTTAAAACGGTTGGAAACCCTTTTGACCCTTCAGTTCGCGCCTCAATCGGCAGTTTCCACTTATGTCGCCGACCCATTAGGCGATGCGCCGAATGGAACTTTTGCCCGCCGAAGTTACCAGTACTCCAACCTTTTGGTTGGTCAAAAAGTTTATTTAACATTGGGCTCACCGACCCACTCGCGGATCGCCGATTGGGTTCTGAGCACGCCTAATTGCCTTTTTCTCCAAACATTAAATGTTCATCATGCACATCCAACAACCGTTATTCAAATAACAAAAACAAAAAACTAAAACTTAGGTTGTCTCTCAAGAAGTGCCTTATTTAACGTCGTGGCACGACAGAGACATGCTTTCAAGATTCATTCTTCGGATTAACCATGGTATCGCTTGGTAAACCCCCTTTTGGCCTTGGGTTTAAATGAGCCAAGATTTGACTCATCTGTGTTTCTAGCTGCTTAATAGACACCGAGTGTGAAATAATTGTTTCGTTCAGAGAAGAGACATCATCTTTCATTTTCTTTAGCACTTTGTCCGATCCTTCCACTTTGTTGAGGATACGAGCAAGCATATCTTCTGTGCGGAAATTTTTAGGATCAACCCTTGACTCTTTTGGCTTTTGACGCTCATGAGGGGGAACATAGCGATATTTGTCGCCATTCCCTCCAATTTGTACCACGCTCACACCATTCCCTATCTCGATCTCTCCAACCATTATCACGGTCCCTATTCCAACGTTGATTTCTACCCGGCCTTGGATAGTTTGGACGAGCACCCCCTGCCTGATTTGCCAAGAAATGCACTTCTTCATTGTACATGGCCTCAAAGTGTACTTCATCAGGATTAACTCTGCCAATTCCGACCGCATACACAACCTTAGTACCACTTCCCATGACATGTTTCGTCAATAGGTTCATTTGGGTCATCATTTTGGCCATATTTTTATCTCGCTCTTGATTCTTCTCCAACTGTTCATTTGTCATCCCAAAATTCAAAGGAGACATCAGATCTTCTCTCGTGTACCATGCACGATTAATTTTTGTCATCTCATCATGGAGGACAGATGCTATGTCAAACAGTTGTTGCATTATTCCTCCTTGAATGAGCTGGTCTACAACACCTTTGTTGACTGTGTCAAGGCTCCGGTAAAAATATTGCAACAACACATTATCCAGTAGCCCGTTAGTTGGACATTGAAGCAACAACTTTTGGAACCTCAACCATGTCTCATAGATAGGTTCACCATCAATACGCTAGAAGTTGTGAATACTATCCCTGAACTTAACCATCTTTGAAGGAGGGAAGAACCTTTCATAGAATGCCCCGGTGATCTCCTCCCAAGAAGTAATTGATTCCCTTGGTAAATCAGCCAACCACATCATTGCTTCCCCCATTACAGAGAAGAGAAACATGCTAAGTCGGACCGACTCTTGGGTGATGTTCTTGAATGAAAATGGCCCACACACATCCATGAAGTTTCGGATGTGGTTATAAAGGTCCTTATGGGCAAGTCCTCCAAAAAGACCCTTCATTTGCAACAGATGCAACATAGTACTGCTCACATGAAACACCACATTGCCCATAGTTGAAGGCAATCAAATAGCAGCCGCACTTTCCAGCTGATCTACATTGACATCGTGCAAATTACCGATGACATCGTTGTTCCCAAGTTGGTTGACATTGCTCCCAATGACACTCATCTCTTCACATGTTTAAGAGAAGCCAACAAAGACAAAAATAAGTTGATTCAACTACAACAAAATCAGTTCACAACTAAACTTCAATATAAGAATTCTAAACACCACTCCCCGGCAGCGACACCATTTTTGATAACTCTCAACTACACTTCATCTGATTCTAAGTGTAGGCGGTCGCTACAAAGTATAAACCCAACTAAGAGTTGGGGTTGATCCCACATGAAGTGATACGATAAATAATTTGATTAAGAAGTAAAAATAGTGTTCTAATCATTTGTAGAAGTAGAAATTTCGCAACGATTAGTTAAATCACAAGGTTTTGACAATTAATGTCAAATGGGAGGATTTGGGTAACCAATTAACAACTACAAATAACCAAGAGTAAGCAAGTAGGGAGGGTTTATTGGGAGTGTGATAAATTGAATGCTAATTTCGCATAATGGGTGATTACTAATTACTCAAAGTCATTGAATATCGGTGGGTAGGCTAAGTCTTAGGTGCAATAGTCATATCTCAATCAACTATCACAAATCAAGTGAGTACTTTCGAACCTCAACAAGCACAAAACAGATTAACAACCCATAACCTTAAACAATCTACTTTTTCAAGCGAGAGTTGTAAGATTGTATTCAAACCCACTTTCTCAAGCTAATTCATAACAACACAATCACTACAGTTATCAGTTAATAATTTAACTCTAACACTTCTTTCTCAATGAAGTATAGAGCACTAGGCTAGAACTGCATTTGCAACTACAATTCCTCAATTAAAACACAAACTATTCATTGAACTCACTTCTAATCAACAATAAAATCAGTAATTAACAACACCCATTAGCTAAATAATGCATTCAACTACATAATCACATCCCAAGAATGGGGGTTTTAGCCAAACAAAATAAAGAACAAGAAATCGTTACCAATGGGTAACAATCTACAAGTCTCCAAATGCTCAAATTTAAGCTAAAAATCAAACAAAGCCTAAAAATCTACTCAAAAAGTGTAAGAACAATGTTTAGAATGTTTAAGATAAAAAACCCAAAACTGGAAAATGTGGGAATTACTTTTCTTATTTTGAAAATTGCGTTTATACATTTCCAGAATTTCAGCTTCTGAGCCTTTCGGGCGAAGTAAGTCGGGCAACGTCGACCTGGTCGGCGATTTGACAAGTGATCCCTTTCATCGCCTTCTTGGCTTGGTCTTTCACCATCTCTTTTCTGTAAGTTTAGGTGATCGAGATCGACATCGCCGCGCGTCACCAAACCATTAATTTGCTCGCCAAGTTGGTCTTGTCCATGGGCTGGCCTTCTGGAACTTTGGGCGAGTTGAAGGTCTACTCAGTGACTCGCCGAGTGGCTTTGGTGAGTACCAACCTTGCTTTCCTTCATCTTTTTCAGCTTTTTCGCTCCTATTTACCTTGGAATGTCCTTTCCTTGCTCTTTTGCCTTCATTGCTCTAAATTAACATTTCAACATCAGTTATGAGAATAGAATGGGCATTGAGGACACTCAATCTTTGAAAATTAAGCCCTAAATGAGTCGAAATCCCTGACTCATCATTATCCACCTTGATTTCATCATCATCCTCTTTGAGCTTAAAGCATGGAACAATTGGATTATGGACAAAATTGCTTTTATCCATCCCAAACTTTTGCAGTATCTCCAATGCATACCTATTCTAACCGATACAAAATTCCATTAAATCTTTGAGAAATCTCCAGACCAAGAAAATATCTCGTCCTTCAAAGGTCTATCATGTCAAATTCATCCTTCATAGAACTTTTAAATTCTGCAAACAGTAATTCATCATTGCCAGTAAAAATGAGATCAACAACATATAAACTTACAATTAATATGTTGTCATTTATCTTCATCTTGATGAGCAACATATGCTCATATTCACATTTGTCAAAACCTTGCTTCATGAAGTAGGCCTCTATGCGACTGTACCAAGCGTGTGACGCTTGCTTAAGCCCGTAAAGTTCCTTGTTTAGCTTATACACCTTCTGCTCATTCCCCTTCTGCACATAACCACAAGGTTATTCCACAAAAAACAATTTCATGTAGCTCCCATGTAAAGACGTAGAGTTTACATCTAGTTGGTACAAAGGACATCCTCTTAGTGCTGCAAGTGCAATCACCAATCAAATTGTCTCCATATGCGCCACATGTGCAAATATTTGTATGTAGTCAATCCCATGTTTTTGGGCATACCCCTTCACTACAAGACTAGCCTTATATTTACTTACTTCTCTATTTTCATCAAATTTAGTCCTATAAACCCATTTAACTCCAATCTTTTTCCCTCCTTGAGGTAAATCCATCAATTCCCAAGTGTCATTTCTTTTTATTGCTTCTATTTCTGCACCCATGGCATTATCGACATACGCCATGAACAACATCTCTTCTTGAGTTTCTGCATAATTTGCCTCTTTTTCCTTTTGTGGACATTCCCATTGAAAATGCCCAAGTTTGCGACAGTTGTTTGTAGCCTTGTCAAGTCTGTCTCTATCCCTTCCACGACCTCCTCTTCCAAAGCTTCAACCCCTACCACTAGATAGTTCTCCATGGGAAATTTTTAAGGCTTGTTCATCCTCAGTTAAAAGGGTCATTTCGTTGTTCATGCTCAAGTATGTTGCTTTGAAGTTCATCAATGGTCAATGTGCTCGTATCCTTGGACTCATCAATGGAACATACAACATAATTAAACTTGGCAGTCATGGATCTCAAGATCTTTTACACAACTCCTTCCACAACTCTTATATCTCCTTTGTCCCCACCACTTTCTTTTAACTTATTATCTATGGTGAGAATTCGAGAAAAATATTCATTCATTGTTTCGCTGGCCTTCATGTGAAAAGTTTCAAACTCTTTGCGAAGAAATTGCAATTGTGCACGCTTAACTCGTGTATTACTCTCAAATTTCTGCTTCATAGAGTCCCATATATCCTTTGATGAACTCTTTTTAAGAATCGTCACTAGGATTGGACGATGTGATACCTGAAACAAATATTTCTTGCTTTCAAGTCTTTCAACTTCTGATCATCAACGCTCTTATGTTGTGCATCCGTCATACCTTCAACTGCTGCAGGAATCCCATTCTCCACAAGGCCCCAATATTCCTTTGAACGCATAAAATTATCCATGAGCATTGGTTAATGATCATAGTACCCATCAAACCTTTATACTGCTGGTTGGACAAAGGAACTCTCTGATGTCATGTTGTAACTGTGAAAAAGTACCACGAAGACTGCTACTTCTAAGTCCGTAACGGGGCTCTGATACCAAATTTTAAGAAAGAAGGAAAGACTACGAAAGAGAATATGAGAGGAAAGATCGATAGTTTTTTATTGAAACAAACTAGGGTATATGCAACGTTACACAACTAACTCAAGCTAAATTTAAGTTTCATGAGTCCAACAAACTCTAATGATCCAAACCACGGAACATATATGAATCTCATAACAATAGGAATTTTATTAACCGAATACTAAAGCTAAACAGTAAAAAGACACTAAACAGTAAAAGGCTCCTAACAAAGTGGTACTATTTATACTTTTTCATAAGAAACATCTTAAAAGAAAACAAAATCTCAAGAATTTTGTTTTCTTTTTGTGGACATACATGTTTAATGAAATTTCATATTCTCTGTGACTAAGATAATATTTTAAAAAATATACTTTAAGGTTAATTCACACGTTAGTTCATATACTTTGTTTATTTAAAGCAAGCAGTTCTATGAGGTAAGTGGAAAATTTAGATAAACAACCAAAAACTTTCAAAATTTTACTTTACAAATCAAAAGCAAACTAAATAATTTCGAAAGTACAATAAAAAACTATTGGCATATATAATTAGAACTAGTATATATATTTAATATGTTAAGGATATCTTTTATCTAATAGTTAGAAGGATGGGTGAATTTGAGTCATTTCTAAAAGGTTAAGGACAATTTTTTATCTAACATGTGAAAGGAAGGAAATACTTGATCTAATAGATGGAAAAATGTTATTTAAAAAAAATTCTAATAAATTGAGGGATTTTTTAAAAAACATTTTCCGTTTAAAAAATAAAGAGAAATTTTTGAATCTTGTGCTCTTAAATTGAGATGTGGATTTGAATCCTCTCCATTTTTCCTAGTTCTTATTTGGATAAGAGACACATGTCATAGCTTTAAATCAATGGTTGAGATTGAATAAAATAAAAATAAGTCTTAACCATGATTAAGTTAACAAATAGTTTATATATTTACTCCCAAAATATAAGACAATCCCATAATTCTAGCTACTAATTTTTTTTTCATTTTTCTTTTTTAAAGCAGCGCAATCCGAGAACTTGAAGGCTTAAGATTATATTTTCAATTAGTCTTTATTATATTAAACTTTATTTTTTAAAAGTATTTCGATATTTAATTGTTACATTATTTACAATATGTGCCCGTCTAGTAAAACAAAGTTACACTAAATTCTAGTAGTATATTTTTTTAAAAGTAGGAGAATCCAAATTTATCTTCACTTCAAACATTGCAATTACTTTCCGAAGCATTCAAATAGATTAGAAATAATTTTGGATGCATAAAATGGTGAAAAAAATAAAGGCAAGTAAGAAGTTTTTAAAATATGTTTAGGAAATGTATTATGTACAACTACAATGGTGGGGTTAAGAAAATAAACAAAATATATAAAATAAATAAATTAATTATCTTAATAACGATTAATTTTAATCTTGAATTTATTAAATCTCAACTATTGATTTAAAGTTATGACATGTTTCTCTCCCAAACAAAAACATAAAAAAAATAAAGAAAGAGAAAATTGGAGAGAAGTTAAATCCTTAAGGTCTTTTAAATTTTGTGATTTTAAATTAGTATTGAAATTAAAAAAAGCTA